CTCTCTGGTTGGTCAAACCAGGTCAGTTCCAATTGGAAGGAGAAGCCACAGCTTGATGGGAGCGGTCCCTGCCCGAGTGTCTTCCTGGGCCAGTGGACACTCGCTCTGACCTTTACTTTCACCCAACACCAAAGCCAGCTCTCCAGTTAAACTGTATTAAATAAATGATGTTTGGAGCTGGGCGTGGTCCGGTACCCTGCAGTCTGAGCTAGAGACAGGAAGATCAGGAGACCCTGGGCTATGGGAGACCCTGTTTCAGAAAATAAAATAATGTTTGATGCTAGAGTTAGGACAGAGTCGAACAAGGCTCTTGATTCTGAAAACTATTTCTGGTAATAACGAAGAGCAGTTTCAGACTTCTGTCACACTTATTTATTTGTTTCTATCTCTGTATGTGAGTACCTAAAGGCCAGTTTGAGGGAGTCAGGGCTCTGTCCTCTACTGTGGGTCCAGGGGACAGGACTCAGGTTGTCAGGTTTGGTAGCAAGTGCTTTTACCCACTGAGCCACCTTGCTGTCCCTGAAGACCACTTTTTTTGTTGACTATATCTATGTGGGCCTTGATAGTAAACCATTCCCATTGTTCTCATTTGGGGTTATTTATTGGTCTGTTTTGTCTGGGGTCGCTCTTCCACTGGGAAAATGGGCTTTTTTTTTTTCTTCATCCATCATAACAGAGTTTGTATGGCTACAGTATTACTAAGAAGTAGCTATTCTTGTCCCTCTACGATAGCCAGGATAATTATTATGAGGCCCTTACAGCAGAACAGCACCTTGTCATCTAAAAAGGACTTTAATACACGTCACTACTTTTGATCCCCTACAATAGCCCGGGTGAAGGAACGCAACTTGTATTATATTCATTTTCTACAGCTATGAGCAGACTCAGAGAGGTTAAGCAACCGATTACAAGTCACAGAGCTGTATAGCCTTGGGCAACAGAAAAGTATTGGCAAAGAGTAAGTTATTCGAGGCTTTGTCTATCTAACAAGAATCGATTTTAGTGCCACAGAGCTGGTCAGGGCCAAGTCCCTCGCTCCGGTTCTTACTGCAGTGCACAGACTCTGATAGCTCAGGAGGATAAAACCCCAAACACTGAGCCAACCAGAGCCATGAGAAGAGGTCAGCCTGAGCTCAACGCCACGCCACACGCCTGGACTGTAGCTCAGGCCTCCCTGCAAGCACAAAGACTACCACCCAGGGTCCACCCTGCTGTGAAACTCTCCACCCCTCCCCCTTCTTCTGAAAGTAGGCTAACCAGGAGCCATGACTAGAGCCAGGGTTTTGTCACCAGCAGAAAGGGACGAGCTGGATAGGTCCCAGAGGGCGGGGAGAGGTCTGGTTTGGAGTGGGAAGCCCAGGCTGACACAGGAGCTGCCCACACTGAAGACTGCCACCTAACCCCTCTTTTGTGTCCAATCTCCACCACATGCTCGGCTTCCCGGCGTTGTCCCAGGCACGTAGGACAGCCCTGCCCTCCCAGCCCTTGAGAAGAGCTCAGTAGACAGTCAAGATGTGCAGTGCTGTGAGGCTTCTATTCCGGAAGGGCCCTCCAGGCAGTGGAGAGAACCTCGAAGGCCGACACTCATCCATCTGCTAAGATTTGTTTTCCCCCCTCAGGAGAAAAACCCACTCATACCTTCTCCCAGTTGGAGTAGCTGCAATTACTCCCTCATACCTGAAGTGGGAAAAGACTGTCATGGCCAATCAGACGACATCAGCCTGGGAACCCAGGGCATCCCAGCACCAATCTTTTCATAAAACCCCATATGAGAAGCTACAAATTCAATTTGTCTTGTCTAGGGGAAAAAATGAGGTTTAAATATGTCAAATCAAAAATGATAGCTCATGTACCAGACATCAGTGACCCAGAACAAATGCCTTGGGAAAAATATTACCCTGAAAATGTCAAGTATTCAGGTTACCAAAGACCTGGGAATTTCGGCAATGACCCACGCACAGAAAGTCTACAGTGGACACTGCTGTGCTTCACGGGCCCTGAAGGCCTGGGCACCTCAGACAAAGCCCTGATGTCTGAGGGCTGGCCTCAGCACCTTCCCTTTGGGGGGACGCCTCCTAGGGAGCTCCAGCCTCAACACCTTCCTGCTAGGGTGGGCTACCAAGGCCAGCAGAAAGGAACTCAAGTGTGCCCAACATAGCCCACCTTACCGTGGGTAGAGGGTGCTTCTGAGCAAGGGCAGAAAGCTGGTTCCCACCGAACCAGGTGATGTCAGCTTACTGGATGGATGAGGTTGAGCCCTAAACCTCAGCTATGTCGCTGCCACTGAGCTGATGCCAAGGGCCTTCTCCCTAGACCTTAGTTGGTAAAAACTGGGAATAGGATTTGAGTGATGTCCAGTAACAATTTCAGTTTGGGGACTTACAAGTTTTTCTTCCTTTTGTTCTCTCTTTCAAGAATCTACAGAGCTGCTGGCAAGTGATAGCACACGCCTTTAATACCAGAACTTGGGAGGCAGAGGCAGGTGGATACCTGAGTTTGAGGCCAGCCTGGTCTACAGAGCAAGTCCTGGACAGGCAAGGCTATAGAGAGAAACCCTGTCTAGAAAAACCAAAAACTAGAGAGACAAAGAGAGAGTGGGAGAGGGGGAATATTGGGGGGGGTAAGGGGAGAGCAGCAAACAGGAAGAGAGTATTGAAAGCATCCTGCCTGGTTTGAATCCCGGCTCAGCCACGTCAAGCTCTCTGGTGTTGAGGAGGACTTGTAACACCCATGCCTTCCCTTTCTCTTCTGCAGCATGGAAATTATAATGTTCATCTTCTAGTCTGCGAAAGAACGAGGACCCAGAATAACATGCTAACAGTGCATGGCTATTCTTTATTGAGGAAGTCCTGCGTGCCAGGCTCTATACTAGACACCACAGCTACAGAAATGATCTCATACTTGAGAGGCTAGGGCGGGAGGACTGGTTGAGTACAGGTACTTGAGGCAGCCTGAGCAACGCAACTTCACAACAGAGGGCTGGGGGAGACAGCTTAGCTCCTGAAGGCACTTGCTGCCAGGCCTGACCTCAATCCTTATAACATGGGGGATAGAAGGAAAGAGAAAAGCAACTGCTTCAAGCTGACCTCTGACCTCAAGTGTGCTAAGGCTCACCCTTCAACCCCACACAAACAAAACAAGCAGAAATGGTCCACAGAGCATGTCCCTGCCTGGCGGAACATTGTTGTCTCTTGGTAAGATGCTGCCCTGATGGTCATGAGTTGGCAGCCCCGAGGGTGTAGGATCCTGGCACCCAGTTCTCTGGCATGGAGTCGGGCATGGAGCAAGCCATGAGGAAGGAGGCACCCATCATCTGCCTCATGCCTCTGATGTTTTCTCTTTCCTGTTTTTCCCCTCTGGATACCACTTGAGACCTAACTTCAAAGAGAATTAAGAATAAACAAAACCCCTCCAAGAAGGCACCTCCCCCAAAGCCTCCTCTCTGTTTCCTCCCAGCTCTGCTTGTTCATATTGCATCACCAAGCCTCATACTCTTGCCCTGCTTGCCCTGGGTAGAGAGCTGTGGGCTCCCTCCGAGCCTCCCTGCTCGCCCAAGAACACACTCTGGCCTCGCTCTTCCTAGAAACAGACCCAGCCACGAGCTGCTTGGCCAGTACGGACTCTGGCTACAGGAACATTCCATTGCTTTTTCCCCGGGGGCTGCTGGGGAAATTGCTCAGTTCCTGTATGGTCAGCAGCGAAGGCAATCAGGAACTATCTGGGCACTGCTACACGCAGATGTGTCCCCAGCCCAGAAGGAGACAAGCAGCTGCTGTCTCGGGGCCAGCTGTGGCTGGTCGAGGAGGCATGGGTAGAGGAATAAGGCCCTGGCACAAGACAAGCAGCCAAGGGGTGACAGGCAGCATTCTGGAGGTGTAGGGCTGCTCCATCCGGCCTGGCCTGGGGGCTGACTGCCTCATGCCTTTCAGATCCATAGCAGAGAGCTAGCAAGCGAAATGTTTTCACCCAAACCCACACTGGATATTAAGGAATTTCCAGATTCTTTGCCTAAGCCCAGACTATAAAAATAAAACAAAATAAAGCATCTCCAGAAGAGTCCTGAGGCCTCCCTTGCCACTGTGTACACTCCAGAGGCTGGGGGCTGGGGAGATAGAGACAGACAGGCAGAGAGGCAAACAGACAGACGGACACACACACACACCCCCAGAGAGAGAGAACGGAAGCCCTGTGGCCAATCCTAGGAGTTCTTCATCAAGGCAGGCTGCATTATAGACTAGAAGGAGCTGGGGTCGGATTTCGGTTGACATTCTCAGGTGCCAGGCTGTGGGAGGATTTTAAAGTTCAGTCAAACAAAGGAAGGTATGGCCCAGAGGTGCAGAGGGAAGAGGTTGGCCCCTGGGCCTCAGGAAACACTAGTGTGATCTTAGGGTTCAGATGCCTCTGGAACTTGCTCCCCCCCAACACTCCTCACCTCTGCAGGCGTCTAATCTTCCATGGTGGCCACGGTTAATGAAGAGCTGCTTCTGGTTGGTACTGGAAGGCGGCTCACGGGCTAAGAGCACACACTTCTCTTCCAGAGGACCAGAGCTGGATTCCCAGCCCCGTGTCAGGCAGCTCACAAGCACCTGGACACTGCACTTCTGAGGGACCGGAAGCCCTCTTCTGGACTCCGCAGGCATCTGCACTCATACCCATGCACAGACAGACATGGACACACAAGAAAAAATAATAGTAACAGAAGCTGAAAAAGAGTTACATTCCGATGAGAAAACTCACAAAGCCCTTAAATCTTCTGGTAGCAAAATCTGAGGCAGCCAATACGGCACCTGCTATCCTGAGACACTGAGAGCTAGGGCAAGCCACTGAGCTCTCCCATCCTCCACAGAGACTGGTGTTTCCGTGCCAAGATGGCAGAGAAGAGCTGAGGGGAGCCAGGGAAAGGGGGAGGGGCGGCCTGGCCACTGCCTCCCTGCCCATTCATAGGACCATGCCCCCATCCTCCTCATGTACCTCAAAACATGCTTGCTGCAGAGTTTGGCATGGTCCCTGTTCACGGTCAGTAACATGTTGAGCTAAGACCACCTTTCATGAGGCTAAACAGAAGACACATCTGTGTGCCGTGAGCAGTAGTGGTGGAGTCTTTGTAGCTCCCACCTTTCCAGACTAGGTCCCCACAGGGCCAAAAAACTGCAAAGGCAGATTCAGAACCAGAAAGTTAGTAAGACAAAACTAAAGGTCCCAGAACCAGAGAGGCCATGACCTGAAGCAGTAAATCCTTAAGGCTGAGTTCACCTCCGTTTGTGTCCTGGTGGCTTCCCGAGGCACTGGGGCGCATTTTCCTCTCCAGGGGCTGAGGAGCCTCATGGACTCTGTGGCCTTCCACTTCTAGCTTAGCAAAAAAAAAAAAAAAAAAAAAAAAAAAAAATCCTAGCCCTCAAGATCAACAAAACAACTGACAGCAAAGGCTATGTTAGCAAAGTTATAGAGAAATGGAATCCTCATTCACAACTGGCAGGAATGCACAACAGCACAGCCACCCTGAAAACTCAGTATGGGGGAATGCTCAGAAAACCAGCTGTGCTGTTCCCTGGCATGGCTTTCCCAAAGATTTGACGTCCTATTCCACAGATACTTGCTCTACAATACTCACTGTCACCCTATTCACAGTGGCCCGGATATGGAGACAACCTAAATATCCTTCGATAGATGAAGAGATAATGAGATGTCTTACCGATACGCAGCAGAATACTATTCAGCTGTTAAAAAAAAATTCATGGAATGTGCAGGTACAGGGACAGACCGAGGAAAGGTTATATTGAGGGACGTGACGGAGAGACAAACAGTACATGCCCTCTCTCTGCGGCTTCTACCTTCAGGTGCTCAGAAGGAAGTGTAACCCCTCCCCCAAGAAAGCCTCTTTTTACAGCAAGCGGAGACCGTGACAGAAAACCACAACATGGCATAACGCAGATATCAACAGATGGTGGGAGGCCACACCCTGAAGGACATGTCCACAGCAGAGATTCTGTACCTCTGCGGTGCTCAGGAAACATTCCTCAAGAGGGCATGCAAAGATCCTAAGAGCCTATCAGCTTGCGGGGGGCATGGGAGGGACTCAAGGCGGGATGGCTGGGAGGCACTGGAGGGGGAGAGAAAGGGTTGCAATTCTATTTCAATCAAAAAAATTGTGCATCGGCAGTCACGACGCCACACGCCTTTAATCCCAGCACTCGGGAGGCGGAGGAAAGCAGATCTTCGTGAGTTCCAGGCCAGCCTGGTCTACACAGTGAGTCCAGGACAACCAGGGAAGGCTATTACACAAAGAACCCATGTTCGGAAAAGAGAGAGAGAGAGAGAGAGAGAGAGAGAGAGAGACACCCAGCCCTGTCCACACTGGCCCTGCACACCTAGGAATTGCACAGCTGCCAGGCTGATCGGAGCGGTTTGGGTCTACAGCAAGATTTTCCCCAGGCTAGGCTCCCAGCACGGTGCTGAAATGATACGGGAAAGTCAACGTGTCCCTCCACCGGGAAGGCGATTCACTCACCTGGACTCTAATCTTGAAGTTATGTCGCCCCGGGTAAATGCGTTTCCTTCTCTGGGCTTCCATCTGCTTCCCAGAAAACTCTGGATTTGCGCTGCACACCTAAAGTCTAATCTAGATCTATCACTCTGCAATTCCATGAATAAATGAAGCAGGCGGCTGGCCATTAATCAAGTTGCCCGGAAACCACAACGACTTGCCTCTGAGCCCCACACACCAGCACGTAGGGTTTGGACGGCTTCATTCCCAGTCTCTTTCCGTCCGGTGTTGGGGAGTTCCAGCCGATGACCGGATAGTCCAGGGCTCAGAGCTGAGCACACTGACATTTGGAACCCCAGCGTCAGCTCAGCAGTGCCGTATCCGGGCGATCTCCGCTGCGGTCGGTGGTAGTGCGACCCGGGAGACTGCGCAGAAAATCCTTGCGCAGGGTCTGGAGAGCGGTGGGCACAGCAGGGTCTGCCGAGGGCGTGGCAAGCAGGGAGAGGAAACGGAAGATGGGCTGGTACCGGGGCTGACCCTCGCGAGTCCCGGCCGCGCGCCCACGTCCTCCCAAGGAACGCGACTAGGAATCTGCACTGGGGAAGATGAAGTTGGTAAAGACACATTCTCCAGAACCATCCAGCCGTGGGCTTCACTCCCTCCCCTCGGCTCCATTCCCAGGACTAAGGGTCTCTCCTCTGACCTGGGATTGGTCCTGCTCTCACCATTCCGTGACGACCTTCCAGCGAGTCCATCCTACCGCGCAGGCGCATCACCCAGTTACGTTGGCGCGGCCGTAGGTTGGCGCGGCCGCGCGCCGTCCGGAACAGTTCAGCAGACGTTTGTTTGTGTCTGTTGGCTTTTCCCGGGTTTCTTTTCCTTCTTCCACTCAGTGAGCAACACGAGCCCAGAGAAGCAGGTCGGACGCGCCCGACGTGTCTCCAGTTTGCTCTGCGCTTCAGTCCCAAGTGACCGGGCACTGATCCCGAGGCCGGGTGGACGGGCAGCTGGTGCGTGTACCCACTGGGTGGCGCGCGCGGCGCTCTTGGTGGACGCGTCCCTCTGCCGGGGGCGACTCCTTGCTCCTAGAACCCCAGCTCTGACCAAGGATGACCGCGTTCCTTTCGGGAGGAACCAGGGTTTTTGGGTTTTTTATTTCATTAATTTATTTCGTTCTCACTTTTTTTTTTTTTTTTTTCAGTGAGCAGGTCCTGTTGTGGACTTGATGTTGTTATTATCAGACCAAGCAATATAAATAAATGTGTTAACAGAGGGGATTTTCGGATGATGGTTCGCGGGGATAAGAGCCTTGGGGTTCGGTCTGCAGTTCGGTCCCCAGCACCCACGATGGAGACAGCTCAAACGACCTCGCCGGGCACCGGCGCTCAGATGCACGAATAATAAAATGAATCTTTTTAAAGTATAGCAAATCTAGCAGTTTTCTTTCTTTCTTTCTTTCTTTCTTTCTTTTTCTTTCTTTCTTTCTTTTTTCTTTGTTTTAGCGAAGCATTGAGATTTGAAGAGGATATTTGGAAGGTTTCTGGCCACAAAATATTGCTCAAGATTGAGGTTGCAACACGGACTGTTTATGATTCTCAAGTTTGCGTTCATTGCTATCCTTTCCTGCAAGCCTGCCTGCGTAGAGAGTATATGGGCGTGAATATATCTCATGCAATATTGTGTATTTGCATTCGAATGAACCTATTGCTATCCGCCACCAGGTGATGGTGGCGCTTGCCTCTAATCCTGGCGCTCAGGTGGCAGAGGCAGATCTCTGAGTTTGAGGTCAGCCCAGTCTACAGAGTGAATTTCAGGACAGCCAGGGCTACACAGAGAACCCTACCCTGAAAAAAAGAAGAAAGAAGAACGGATTAGTGTTTAGGACAGCCTGAGAAGCCCGGGGCAGCATTCTGTTAGGCAGTCAGGTTTTCTAAACCCCAAATCCTTCCATGGCGCCTCCTACCGGATGCTTGTCTCCTGGCGGGACAGGGCAGCTCACCTCGCAGTGAGCATTAAGTAAAAGAACGTAGACGCTCCAAGAATGCGCAATGGGTAAAACACGCAGATCTTCCGCGTTCTCGCTCCTGTCATCCCCCATGGCAGGAGACCTCATTGTCTGGGGACTTCACGGGCAATATTTTCACTTTGTGAGGAGTCATTTGATGTATGACAACACTCAATGCCCAGGTGGCCCCCCACATGGAACTTTCTGGAAAGAAGGCCACCAGCTTTGCTTTCTGACCCACTGCTAAGGAGAGCAGGCCTCTCCCTTCCAGGAGAGCTGTGGGACTTGACAACATCCTCAAGGTGACAGCTGCTTTTCCGGTGGATCTCGGGCAAGTCTCCAGCACTTTCCACTTATGCTTCTGTGCCCCAGGTCCTTCTGGATACAACCCCAGGGCCCTAGTACCTCCAGCACAGAGCGGAGGGCACTCACATGCTCCTGAGAAGCCCAGGGCCAAGGCTAATCTTTACATGGGATACCCTTCCCCACCAGGGCCAGAAGGAGTGACAAGAAAACAGGCCGCCTGACCTTAGGGAAGTCAGGGTCCAGCCTGTGTTTCCTGAACCCTTTTCCATAAGAACCCTCCAACCCCAGCTGCTCAGAATCTCCAAGACACCAACTTGTGTTCAAACCCCTTCACTGTTTACTGCTAAGTCCACCCCAGCATCTCAGAAGAAAAGGAATAAGTGGTCACACAGCAAGACTTCAAATTACCATTGGACTCTGCCTACAAGCCAATGAGCCAATGCAATTTTTGCTTTTTGTTTTGTTTTTGTTAGTTGTTGAGATAAATTGTCTCTGCGTAGCCCAGGGTAGACCTCCAACTCTTGATCCTCCTTCCTCTGCCTCCCTGGTGCTAGGAATATAGCCATGTGCTACCACATCTCATTAGCCAATAAATATTAATGTATTTTTCATATAGTATATGTTTACTGAGGGCCTTTTTCTACACCAAGCCTGGAAAGGCTCCAGGAAGCAGGAGTTAATAGGATGGCAAATCTTTGCCCTGCTGGGAAGCATGCTGGATTAAGAAACAGCGATATGATATGATGAGGCTTATGCTGGGTAAAGTGGGGCTGCCATGACCTAAACAGGGGCTTCATCCCAGCATAGCAGAGCAGAGATCTGGGTACAAACAAACAAACAAACGAACAGAAAAGCCCCCTTTAAAAATGAGTAAGGATGTGAAGTTGAGAATCTCTGAGCACATAGGGAGGTGGATGATACTGAGGGATGAAGGCGATGATGTTTTTGAAATTTGCATAGGAAAATCAAGGCCCTAGAAGGACGCTAAGTAAAAGAAAGCAGATACAAAGAGCCACAGGTCACATGACTTCGCATATGCAGAATCTCTGGAAAGGGAAAGCAATGCTGGCCAGCTCTGAGCAGGCGAATGTGCAACACCTGTAACCAGCACAGCTGTCTTTTGAGGGAGAGCAGGAATGTTGTGGAGTTTGGTGGTGCCTAATGGTTGCAAGTCTAGTGAAGATACTGAAAACAAACGAACAAAACCAAAGCAACAAAAAGAAAAACAGTGACATGGTGAATGGGGGTTAGGGCCTGTCTGAGTTTGCTTCTCTGCTGATGTGAGAAAACTCTAACCAAAACCAAGTTGGAGAGGAAAGGATTTGTTTGGCTTACACCCCCGGGTAACAGCCCATCACTGAGGGAAGCAAAGGCAGGAACTCAAGCAGGAACCTCGAGAACCGCAGAGAAACTGCTCACTGGCCTGCTCTCCATGGCTTGCTCACGGTGCTTGCTTACACAACTGACGACCATTTGCCGGGGGTGGGGCATACTCACAGCAGGATGGGGCCCTCCCTTACCAATCATTAATCAGGAAAATACCCACAGATATGCCCACAGGTCAAGCTGATAGAAGCAATTCCTCAGTTGAGGGTCTCTCTTTCCAGGTGCCTCTATTTCAAGTTGACATAAACTAACCAGCCTAGGAGGGGACCTTGAATCCCCAACACTAAAGTAAAAATCTAGGCACGGCCACACATGCTTGTAACCCCAGAACCACGGAGGAAAGAACAGGAGGTGCCCAGGAGCCTGATGGCTAGCCAGCCTAGCTGAAATGTCAGAGAGGTTCAGAGAGGAACCCTACCTCGGGGAATGAAGCAGACAGAGGAAGACACCCCACCCCCTCCTAAGGCTGCCAGGTGTACAAGCACCTCGTACATAGTGCGCACCACACACAAAGTGATGGACTGCGTGTAGGTCATAGTCCAGGGTTGTAAAAGAGAGCTCGGCTCTGAGGTTCTCCAAGCAACCGAACTGCATTCACCTGGAATAGCAGGGCAAGCTGCCTTCTCACAGGCCTGATCCTGAGAGCCATGGAAACCATGGGTATCGATCCAGAGACAGACACAGTCAGACTATAAAGGAGGCTCACACTACAGGGGGGACCAGAGGGAAGGCTGCTGCTGTTCTCCAGATGAGAACCTGGGGAGAACAGAGAAGTGAAAGGACAAAAGCAGGGTTCAGGGAGAGACCAGAGCTCAGGGCCTGTGGTGGAGTCAGGGGGATGGGTGAGAAGAGGAAGAAGCCTGTGATGGTTGAGGAAAATGGGACAAGGGTGAGAGTGGAGTCCCTAATTGGGATGGGAAGTTTGGGGGAAAGATGCTGAAGCGCATCCCATGGGGCCCCTGAGGCACCTGCATGAGAGCCCAGGGACTCATGTCCACGAGGACCAGCAAGGCTTCAGGGATGGGCAAGTGTCCTGGCAGAAGTGAAAGAGCCAGGCTGGAGAGCTCTTGCACAAGGGAAACAAGAGCCAGGGCCAACCAGGAGAAGAGGAGCATGCGGAGTCCCAGCACAGACTGTCCTAAGGGCCTGGTGGAGTGCGCTGAGTGGTCCATGGCACCTGGGAAAGGATTCAGGGAGAGGAGAGGCTCTTGAGGCTCTGAGGTCCATGGTTTCCATAGTGCAGGGCCAAAGGGAGATGAGACAGATTGAGGAGAGCCTGTAGGGTGGGAGAAACAGATCTTGGGAGGCGTCTGTGAAGGAGTGATGGGTGAGCAGGGCTGAAGCAGGAGGGCAGCAAGTGAGTTTGAATCCTGAAGGCCTGCAGAAAAGAGCACCAGCTGGAACAGAAGTTTCTAAAGAAATGGGTAGAGTCGGGATTTACAGTACCAATTATCCTGGGCTGAGATGCCAGGTGGGGACGCCTTCCTCCGTAGATGGAGGACAAAGGAAGGAGCAGGACTGAGATATGTTTCATTTGGGGTGTGTGGGTGGGTGGGGGTGCTAATAAACCCAGACAGGGAAAGAGAATTTCCACGTGGCTTTCATGTTGACACTGAGGCAGGAGGCAAGATCAAATACTGAGCAAGGCTGCAGGCAAAAGTAAAGACGCTTGACAGCATGTCTGTCAAAACCTGCTCGGAGACAGCTGGTAGAGTTCCAAGAATCTCAAGAACAAGTTGTTAAACACAGCTATTGAAAATCAAATTAGAATAGATCCGTGTAAACATCTCCAGCTCCTCTGTGAGCGTGGCGATCCTGGGGCAGCAGATCTGAAGGCGTGGGCGCGGTAGACGTGAGAGAGTCTCGCACGGCAGGCAGCCCGAGCAGAGCTCCTTCAGTGGGTTTCAGGGTGAGCTAGGCAGCCGAGGGAGCTCAGCAGCAGGGGAGAGGGGTCAGAGGGCCGTGTTCTCCACAACAGACCAGACAGCTCCTATTGATTTCCCGGGCTAGGCTAAAGTTTGCTCACTGTGCCTTGGTCATGGGCACGGTTTCAAAAGATGTTTTTCCTTCTCGTGGGTAAACATTCTGACCTTGAGGTTGGTGGGCTAATGGACAGCGGCTTAACCCAGTGACTGCTGAACCGCCCCTGCTGTGTGGTCACTGTCTTGCATTAAAGTCTCTGCCTGTGCTGTGCCCTAACCAGTGGAGGTTCTCCCAATGCTGTGACCCTTTAATACAGTTCCTCATGCTGCAGTGAGCCCCGGCCAGAAAGTTATTTTCGTTGTCACTTTTGTGTTTGCTACTTTTGTGAATCGCAATGTAAATATCTCATAGGTGACCACCAAAAGGGGGGTGACCCACATGTTGAGAACCGATGCTCTAAACTAAAGCACAGGGTACGTGGGGTGGAAGAGCGCTCCAGCTCCAGCAGACAAACGACCATGTTAACCCTTTATTGTTACAGCTCTGGGCGAACCATTTCTCAAATAGTCAACACATCTACCTGCCCAGCTCAGTGGACCCTGGCCCTGTGGGTTAGGACAACAAAGGGGACAGAGACAATATGAAGGCACCGATGTCAATCCTTGTGCAATACTTCGGTCTCCTCAGATGTCTGCAGGTTTAAGCCCAGAGTTGGTGTTTTCTAGAGAAAGCAGGCTTCGAGTTGCTGCAAAGTAACCAAGGCAACTGTTATCGGAGCCCACACATCAGAGGTTTTATCTCTGGCGAGCTCGTGGGAAGCTAATGATGCCTTGCTCAGCCGTGACCTCCAAAATTTGTGATTTTTAAGTTAATGAAGAGCAAATGCTGTGATTTTGTCCTGATAGATGAGCTGACTTCAAGGGCTTACCAAGGGCTTTTGGTGGGACAAGGTTTGACCTCAGGAACGCTCCCCCTTTGCCTTTGTCATTTGGATGTTCGTCTCAAATGCCGCTGGTCAAAGCCTAGTCTAGTCACACGGCTTCTCGTCTGTAAACATTCCATGGTTGAGGGCACATTTTTGTTAGGTAACAGGTTAAGAGCCCAGAGTCAATCTGCTCTTTGGACCTGTCACTTCCTGTCTCAGTGGTTTGAGATAGCTGGATGAGAGGCTGGCCTTTTCTGGACCTCGCCCAAACTGAAAAGATCCACTCATGAAAGGCTTTGTGAGGACGAAAATCTAGGTATCACACATCTGACAAGGGGCTAGTCTGCCAGCGCTAACAAGGAAGCCATGAAATCCAACAGTGAATAAACAGCCCGACTAGGAAAACGGGCAAAAGGCGTGAACTGACACGAATAGCACGTAGCACATGGAAACTACTCAGCATCATTAGTCATGGGGAAATGCACAAGGGTACTCCACGGTGCACGCAGCAGCCAGACGGGAACAAACACAATGGAGACACCAGATTCCGGGAGGATGCAGAAAAACTGCCTCACTCATGCACACAGCCACCGGAAATGCAAAGCGTCCCAGGCACCCTGCATACGTGTGTCAGTGGCCAACAACTGCGCTCTCAGACACTGGTCCGAAAGAGTAAAACGAGATGCTTGTAGGAAACCCTGCATTTCCTGTTCAGGGCTCTTTATGCTGACGTTAAACACTAGACACGGCTCAAGGTCCTCTGGTGGGCTGACCGTTGAGTGGCTGTGGTTTTAACCTCGTCCATACCTCAGAATACTGCAAGAACAGGTTCATAGAGGCACCAACTTGATGGCCCAAAAGCCAGTCCTAACAGATGCAGGCCATGAGATCTTGTTCATCTGATGTTACTTAACCAGCACGATTAAAGACGGAGAGAACAGATTCATGGGTGCCAGGCTCTGGGGATGGAAGGGGAAAAGAGAGCGGGCAGCTTTGAAAGCACAGCAGGAGGGACCCTTATGGTGACGAAAACACTCTGTGTCTTACCTGTGTCAGAGTCAACGTCCTGACTCTGACTACCATTCTGCCTGACATCATGGTGGAGGAAAGGCTGCGAAAAGGCTTAAAGTGTCTCTGCATTATCATCGTCTGTCTCGGCGGAGATGGTCTCACACTGCAGCCCAGGATCGCCGCAGGTCACTGTGATCCAGGCTGGCTTCACACCCACAGCGATCCTCCCACTCCCAGCCGCCATGTGCTGGGATTGTAGGAGCACGCCGTCACTCCTTGCTCTCTGTGTTATATCTCACAACTCCACGTCAATCTGCAATTCACTCAAAATTTAATGATAGACATAGTTAAATGGGGATTTGAACCACAGAAGTTCATTTATATAGCGTGCTTAATTGACGAGATTAAATATTCAGTTTAACAAAGGTGCAGGGTAAGTGGAGAACAGCAACTAGATTGTAAGGGTGCGGCTGGAGGGTGCCTTGTCTCGGGACGATTCTGTTTCCTGACAGTGGAAGCCACATGCGTTAACACGCTCCCACACACAGGCGACGGCAGACGAAACATGAATCTGAGCAAGGTGGACAAGCACATCAGCATTAGGTCCCTGAATGCAATTTGGTTCTATAAGATACCATCATTGGCTAGACAATGTGAGCCCCCTCAGTGTTCTTTTACTTTTCGTTTATGTGCAAGATGTTTTGCTTGCATGTATCTGTGCATCTTGTATGTATGGCGTTCTCAAAGGCCAGAGAGGCAAAAGATCCTCTGGAACTGGAGGTATAGATTGCTGTGAGTTGTACGTGGGTGCCTGGAATGGGACCCAGGTCTGGTCCTCTGGAAAAGCAGCCAGTGTTCTTACCCAGTAAGCCATCTCTCCAGCCTCCTGTGTTATTTCTTATAGTTACGTGTGAATACATTGAGTATCATAAAATTTAAATAGTAAAATTACAAATCAATGTATTTTTTTAAATTATGCCTAAAAGCATACAGCTTCCTGTTTCACTGTGTCAGCGCTGTTTAAGTTGACACCTGTTACAGCATCTGTGATGTCTAGCTAATGCCGCGTCGGTAGCTTACAACAGACTACAATGGGAGTATTTACACCACCAGAATGGGCAAACACTACAAATCAATACTTTCTCCAAAGCCCGCAGTTACACATCTGCCAGGACACCATGGGGCCGCCCACTGGTCAGAGTCTGAGCAGATGGAGTTCCCTTTGAGCACGGAAGCAGGAGTCATGAGATTAGTCGGACTCTGTCCATAATCTGCAGGAGTCTCCAGCTTGGCCCTGGAGATGCACAGAAGCTGAGCTGAAGATCACTGGTAAGAAGAGGAGTCTTAAGGGTGGCACTAGGGACATTAATCAGGATGCAGGATCCATTTGGTTTACCTCCAGGGAGCCTGATGCCTCCTCTGGTTGAGGCAGGAGTTGAGGTAGGAGACACTGGAAAAGGGAAAAAAGAGAATGAAAAGGAAAAGACTAAAGAAAAAGAGCATTCATTCTTAGCACAGGCAAGAACGGAAGGTTAATGCAGAACGCTGGAGGGAGTTTGGGACACCACTGGTGATATTAAATGTCTCTGTTTTAATCAAAAGAGCTAAAGGTCTTAACCGAGAGTCTAAATCACCCTAGAGGGAAGACTAAATTGCAGCCTATGTAACTTTTAAATTGTCATAAGAGTCTAAAATTGTCAAACTTTTCGGAACAATGTCCCAAGTTTCAGGACAGAGGTTACCTATGAAAATGAAGAGGCCAGGATAGTCTTCTTGGTTCACAGCCCTCCTCCTATCCTCAGGGGCTGCATCAGGGCACTGGGGAGGGCTGGAGACACAGCTCCATGCTGCCACCGGAGCAACCTGAGTTCTGTTGAGGGACCTCCCATCAGGTGAAGCCATGACTACTGACTGCAGAAAAGAATTTCAGGACGAGCCAGAAAGGGGAAGAGTTGGAGTTAACTAGAGGAGATGTGGGCTGAGCAGGCGGGCTTCCCTAAAGACAGTCACACTTGTGTCTCCACCGTAGCCGTATGTATGATTTTTGGGTCTCCTGACGTCTCATCTCAAAGGGTTCTTTTTCTTGTGAAGGAAACCGGGAAGCGTTTCCTGGTGTGCACTGAATGGGATTAAAGCAGATGGAGTACAGCCCTGGCTCACAGGGGATGTATGGAGGCAAAGGTTATGTGGAGCTCTTTACTGTGAGCAAAAGTTAATAGCCATGTCTGTGGAGAGCTCCAGAAAACATCTGGGCAAAGAGGAAGACCTTTGGCATGCAACCTTATGGTTCATAGCTCTTTCAACATTCTTATTTGAAATTATCTCTCTATAAAGGGAATGTTGTCTCCATGCAGGCAATGTTGACAGCACATTTTGGTAATTGTGCCAAAGTCCTTGATTCCCAGCAAGCCAGACACTTTGACCAGATTCCAGCGTGAGGGGCTCCTCTATGTGCCTCTGCCTTCCCATGTTTCAGCTGCTCCTGTATGAACTAGTGGGGAGAAGGAAGTTTCCCAGGCAGAGGGGGTTTAGACCAGAACTAAAAAGGAGGAGGCTGAACTGAACCAAAGTCTGAGTCCTAAACATGGACCCAAGAATGTAATTTGCTCGCCCCTAAGACATGAAAGAATCATGGCCAGAAGCTTGTCGCTCTTCCTCAAACATGGGCTGCGCACTGTCTCATCTCCTTAGCGCTCAGTCCACGGCCACAGGCTGGGATGCTTAGCGAGTGTTTATGAGTTAAAGGGGACTGAAGAGAGACGAGGAAGAGATGGGAGCCTTGGCTAAACCCTTGGGAAAGTACACCTCATGAGGCAGAGTCCAAACTCGAGCTGGAGAAAGGACGACCCTCCTGGTGACGGAGGATGAGGGCAACTTCCCTTTCTTCTCGGTGGCCCCAGCATCCCCCGCTGCTGGCTGGCAGGTCACAGCAGCCAGCCATAAATACGGCCATGCATACAGTCACTGCTGGTGACCTCAGGAGAGTCGGGGACACTCAGGCGTGCTCCTGCTAGATGCCTCCCCTGGAGAGACTTGTGTTGTGTCCAGCGAAACAGTCAGCACGTGGGAGTTCAGAGAGGCCCCAGGGTGACACTATAGGCCAGAGGTGAGCCGAGGCCCACCACCTTCCAGGGGTCTACCATATGTCCTAGCTGACACCGCCGTCCTCCTCTCACTTGCATGGTATTTGTGCCCACTGATCCCTTTAGACAAACACCTGCCCTGTCTGCTCAGCAAGCTTGTGCCAAGTAACATTCCTGTTTGTAGGTGGAGGTGAGGCATGGAAAATTCCATAGTTCCCACTGTGAAACGTACTCCATTTTGGGAGCAAAGGAGAGGGGGGCAGGGAGGAGCGGAGGAGATGATTCAGAAACAGCTGAACTCTGAAAAATGGAAGAAAAATCTTCTTGTGCACTGCAGAAAAGTGCGTTTTCAAATGAAGCTGTGCCAGGGGACTGAAAAACTGCTTATGAGCAGAGGACACTGGCAGCGAGGGCAGGAAACTGACGACAGGGCAGACTGAAGAACTGCCTGGAGCACGTGTGGCTCAGAGGCAGCAGCAGAGACTCGGGACAGGCGCTCCATCACCAACGTGCAAGAGGCCCCCATGTCCTGTGGCCTCTGAGTTATGTGACCACTAAAGAGGAGGATTCCAAGTATGACAGCCACTGAGTACTAGGGCCAATAAGTACCTCGCTGCTAAATATTACGTCTACCAAATACTGAGATAGCAAATGTCAGAGGCACTGTTTAATCCTGAGATTAAAAACTTCTGATGCCAAATACTGCAGGCAACAAAGAACCCTGGAATTAAGTTCTTCTATAATAAGTAGGGTAAGTGCCACATAACCCTGAAACTAAACACTCAGGAATGGACTACGGTGTGCTCTAAATACTAAGCCCCTGAATCATGTAACCAGGAACCCCACACCTTGGCATCAATACTGGTGTTAGCACTCTGGTATGCCAGGCCTATGGAGAATCAATTGTGAATAGAATAACAGTAGTAGGCCCCTAAATTCTCAGCCTACAAAGTCAGAAGCCTGGCAGACACCTGGGCTGGAATCAAGCACTGACTTTTTTGAGATGGGGCCCTTTTGTGGATATTACAGTTTCCTTCTAGTGTGAGTGCTATGTCCGGGGCTGGCAGCCAGCTCAGAATCCTCCAGGCCTAAAGCTGGGACTGCACCAAGAAAAGCCTTTCTAGGAAGGGATGGTAGCACATGCCAGCACTCAGGAAACTGAGACAGGAGGATCACAAGTTCAAAGATAGCATAGACTCCAGAACAAGACTGTGTAAAAAACCAAGAACCAGAGGTATAGCTTAGTTGCAAAGTGCTTGCCTACCATTTAAGGCATGTGGAGAGACCGTCTCTAAAGTATGATTCCAATTACTTATTTCTCATGATTCTCACCTGTAGGACCTGGCCAAGGGCTCGCTTGCTTAGCTGCACCCAGCCATTGGCCAGGCCAATGGCTCCCTTCCCATGCCCAATGCATTGCTGCTTTCCTGTGTGATCTTCTCCATGTGGCTACCTCAGGCTCCCACAGTATGGTCGTGAGATAGCTAAGCCTCTTTAGGAGACTGGCTTCCAAGAATGTGTGCCAAAGAGTCCAAGAAATTATCCATCCTCAGAAACTATATGAAGTCACTTCTGCCACATTCCGTTGGCCAAAAGAAGTCATAAAGAGATCTCATATTTAACAAAAGGAGGGCCAGGCATGCCTTTAATCCTAGCAGTCAGGAGGCAGAGGGTGGTGAGTTCTCCAAGACAGCCAAGAGTACATCCTGAAAAGAGAGATGGAAGGAAGGAAGGAAGGAAGGAAGGAAGGAAGGAAGGAAGGAAGGAAGGAAGGAAGGAGGGAAGGAAGGAAGGAAGGGGAAAAGGAGAGACAAGCTCCACCTCTGACTAGAAGTAAGGGGTAGCAAAGTATTTGTGGCCATATTTTATCCAAGGTATGGGCGCAATAAACGCTGTGGCGACTCATCCAGCATTTTCTTCAGGATGGAGGCATTTGCCTCTCTGAGGGAGTAGTGGTTGCTTACAGCTGGATCTTTGCCCCGTAATGGTTTCCTGCTTAAGGGAGGACATTTTCTGAGAGAGCAGAGCGAGGCTCCTTTAAGTCAGTTTATGGTCATTTGTAAAACTCTAACGAGCCATGCCAGCTCTGGAGTCTCCTAGATCAGTGGATGTGTTGCAGTTGAAACTTTTGAGAATGTGTCCTAAGCATCTCCACAGCCACTTCCCATGTTAGGATCTCGGCCCCTAAGTGTTTCCCATGTGCCTGACCTCAGCCATGGGCCTGAGCCATAATGGGACAAGGAGTGGGTAAGACAGCATACGAAACAGGACGAAACAGAATATACAAAGGTAAGCTCAGTGGAGAAGAGCAGACCGCGATGGAGTGGGGAGAATGAGAGACAGCTGGGGTTAAACCCAACACTGAGCCATCTTGCTAATATGAAGAATCAGGGCATGGTCTGCAGTTTCCATAATTATAAATACAAAGCACTGCAGTGCACGTCTTCAGTTTTAAATTCTGTTACAGCTCTGATTGCTTATTTCAGGATGGATTTCGAGCAGCAAAATGATGAATTGAAGAATGTGACCATACTTAAGCCTATGGGGATGCTCCAAACCTTCCCCTTTACTCTGCATTTCCACAGTATTCTCCATCAGCCGAATTCCTTCCATTTACAGGAGACCAGTAAGGTCATTGATTCAGCTGGAGAGTTAATTATTCATTTGAATTGGTTTGTGGAAAAGGCTCCAGAGAGCCCACAAGAATAAATTGAAAAGCTATTAGAACTAACAGGAGAATTTAATAAAGTAGCTGGATGCAAAATTCAATAGCTTCCTCCTCAACTAGCAACAACCAATTAGAAAACACAATGGGAGAAGGCAGGCAGGGGACAGAGAGGACAATAACAAAGACTCCAGGGACTCTGTCCCAACGGGGTGGGTCACAGGAAGTCCACAGCTTCACATTTCCAACTTTGAAATCTCATGACATAATTAGATGGAAACGCCTGTCATGTTCAAACACAGGAAGATTTGAATGAACATCCTGAAGAGCTAAGTTGCTCCAACTAAAGAAAAGAGCAGTTGGAAAGGTCATCTGGCATGATGGTCCAGCACTCAGGAGGCAGAGGCAGGTGGATCTCCATGAGTTGAAGGCCAGCCTGGTTTAAATAAAAGTCCAGGTCAGCCTGTGCTAAGTAGAGAGATCCTGTCTCAAAAGACAAACGTGTATGGGAATAATTGAGAAAAAAAAAAAATGAAGGTGAACAAGAGGGAAGCTTGCCTTATCATATTAGATATACAATATGTCGGAAATTATAAAAATAGAATGATGCAAGATTGGCAGACGTGTGGGTGGGTGATGATTGCCAATAGAGGCCAGAGCGCAGGAGTCTGCCCAGTGCAGATGGAACCACAGCCTTGGGAGCCATTATTTGATCACATGGTTAATGATAATTGGTTAATGGCTGGGAGGGAATGTGTGTGGTTTTATTTTTAAAAATCTCAATTGTTCTATTTCACCCATAAAGACTCAAGAGCCAGATATTGGGGTGTAAGACTAATAGCTCAGCGAGGCAGAAAAAGCACCCAGCTGACCTTCCTACCCAGCTGACGTCCCAGAAGAAAAAGCCTTTCCTCCTTCTCCATACTGTCTTAAATGCCTTTCACCTCGTGTCCCTCCTTTCTCCTTCCTGTGCAACTCTCTATCCATCCTCCAGACTTCATGGGGTTTTTTTGTTTTTTTTTTTTTCCATGTTCACTTCCTCTCAACTGGTTGCTTGCTTTGCCTCCTGACCTAGGGTTAACTCTATTTAATCCTGTTTACAGAAAGCTCTTGGATAAAAGGTGTGTGCAAGGGCTGAGCCACACCACAACCACAACTACCTGTTTACAGCAAACAGAAAGCTCTAGGATCAAAGACTGGGCCATGCCACAATTAGAAACAGGTTTTTACAATCCACGGTCTCAGGGCTCACAATGGCGTTGAACATCCTGCGACAGGTCTGCCCTTCTCTCGCACCGTAAGCCCAGATAAACAGATTCCGACTGGACCGTCATTCCCCACAAAGGATGCGTTAAAGTGATACTCAGAACATCAGGCGGTGGCCTTACTTGCAGCAGTAAGCCAATGGAGTAAACCACGCTGAGGCCATTCCAGTTTAGGGTGACGGGAGTCCGTTTAAGAAGACGTTAGGCTAGAGCTGTAGCTCAGGTGGTGGAGTTCGCGCTGAGCTTACGTCTCGGTCAGTGTTCTGCAACTCCTCCAGCAGAAATCATTTACCTGGGCACTGCTTACAGTTTCAGAGGCTTTGTCCATTATCATGGCGGGAAGCATGGAGGCATGGAGGGAGGCACGGTAGCAGCGGGTTCCACAAACAGACAGAAGGCAGCCAGAAGAGAAAGACACGGGGCCTGCCTCACAGCCACCCAGTGACACGCTTCCTCCTCCAAGGCCACGCCTCCTCCAACAAGACCACGCCTCCTAGTTGTTTAACATAGGCCCTGGCTGATTGATGGCTAAGTATCCAAAGCCTATGGGGGTGGGCATTCCTTTTGCATTCATATTTAAAGCACCGCAGCGTACACGAAACCTTGGGTTCAACTCCCAAGGCAGAAAGAGAGGAAAATAAATTCATATATATTTCACATCAAATTTTATAAAGTGCACACACACACACACACACACACACACACTCGCACTCACAAACCTTGGATAAGGAGATAGTTTTGGTTTTATTCTGATAAAATATATACAGCCATTTTAAGTATGTGATACAGTAGCATCAAGCAGATTCACAATAGTGCATAAGTTTCCCTCCTGTGATTTTTCACTTTTCAGAACCATCTGCCCATATTCCCTCCCACTGTTTCCTTTGAGCCCCTTCCTCTCAGCCTCCAGCTGCTTTCGCTAACTTACACCTTCTTTCTCTGCAGGTGTATCTATCTATTTTGATACTTTGTGGATGTGAACTCATGTAACGTTTTCCTTTTGGTCCTGACTCACTTTTTTTAGCATGTTTTCACCGTTCATCCACACTGCAGTATGTTTTAGAATTCTCTTTGTCTTCATAGCTGAGTGCTGTTTCATTACATGTGGGGACATAGCACACTTTACCCATCCAGCGCACAATGGCTTTTTAGATTGTTTCTTCCTCTTGGCTATTTGTATACTAATAGGCCTGTGTTGAAATTCCTGCTTTTAGTTCTCTGGGTGATATATTAAGGAGGGCAATTATTGGATTATTTGCTAATCTTATGTTTAAGCTTTTGCAGAATGTATAGGTTATAATTTTTTATTTATTTATTATTTTGGGCACTGGAGAGATGACTCAGAGGTTAAGAGTACTAGTTGCTCTTCCATAGGTCCTGAGTTCAATTCCCACAGCCACATGTTGGCTCACAACCATCTCTAGTGAGATCTGGTGCCCCCTTCTGGCCTGCAGGCACACATGCAGACAAAACATTGTATAAATAAATCTTTAAAAAATTATTTGCACTTTAAAAATGTTCTCTATTGAATATATATTTTGTTTTATAATCAGAAAAAAAATGAACATTTTTTAATGCCTCCTTTTTTGGCCTTTTTTTCCCCCCCAGACCAGAGGAGGGCACAGGGTCTCTCACTGAACTGGAGCCAGGCTGGGGGCCAGCAAGTCCCAGAGCAGTAGAATCACAGGCATGTGCTTAACCACATCCTGCCTTCTGTGTGGATGCTATGGATTTGAATTCAGGTCCTCAGGCTTATGAAATAAGCTCTGTTACCCACTGAGACATCTCCCTACTTCCTCCAAGCTTAGTCCTTGCTTCCTTCCCTCCCTCCTTCCCTCCTCCCTTCCACCCTCCCTCCTTCCCTCCTCCCTTCCACCCTCCCTCCTCCCCTCCTCCCTTCCTCCCTCCCTCCTCCCTTCCTCCCTTCCTCCTCCCCTCCTCCCCTCCTCTCTTCCTTAGGCAGAGATTCGCCCTGTAGCCCAGGCTGGCAGAGCCGCTACCCGAGTGCCCCGGCTGCTGGAATCACAGGGATGAGCCAACAGGACAACTCGCCTTCCACTACTCTCCTTTCTTCTACATATCCTACGGACACCAGGTCCCTTGAAGCCAAGCAACAGATGACTCATTGTTTGTTGCTTGGTTCTGGGATTTTGTTTGTTTGGGGAGGTCTTTCTAGGAAGCCCTCACTGGTTTAGAACTCACCACACAAACCAGGCTGTCCCTCAACTTACGGTGATACTTGCCTCTGCCTCCTGAGCCTCGAGATGACAAGCATCATGGCTGGCAAAATGACTGTTTTCAAATGTATCCAGGGTTTGTTTTGATTAGCTAAGGTGATGCAGACAACTCTGTCCCTCCGAGGGAAGAAAGCTTTTATTTTTAGTTGTGTGGCTGTGTGCATGGGAGTGTGGGCGCCTGAGGAGGCCGGAAGAAGAGAGCCTCTGGATCTGGAGTCAGAGTGGCTGTGTGTCACCCAGTGAGGATGCTAAAAACCAAACTGGGTTCTCTGCAAAAGCAGGGTATACGCTCAGCCACAGAGCCATCTCTCTAGACCCACAGCTGTGCCTAAAACAAGACTCTGTTATTCACAGCTGCCAAGAAAAGAGGCAATGAGGGACCACGTGTGCCCACAGGACGCAGATAGAACAAGGGAAGGCATAGCCTTTACTGTGATCTCCATGAGCAAAGTAGAGCTCGCACAACTCAGAGTGACGGAACAGTGCCAACAGGCCCTCACCAGCAGGACCCTGAGATGTCCAGAGCCTAGCCCTGGACGTTAGGGAGGGAGCATACTGGCTTAATGAGTGGGACCTAAGATAAAGGAAGTGACTGAGGACCTGACCTCGGAGTTACTCTCTTCTATGAAAGGTGACCCCCAGGCCAGCTGCTCCATCTCTCTAGGTCAGCCGTTCTCACCCTGTGGGTTGCAAGCCCTTTGGCTTGGATTGACCCTTTTTACAGGGGTCACCTGAGACCATAGGAAAACACAGATATTCACGTTATGACTCATTATTACAGTCATGAAATAATTTTATGCTTGGGGGTCACCACACCACGAGGAAGTGTATTACAGGGTCGAAGCATTTAGGAAAGTTGAGAACCTCTGCTCTAGGTGTTAATTAGCCACGTGGGCCATCTGGAAGGTCGCGGATGTCAAAGCACAGCAAACAAAACACGTGGCTAATAGAGACACATGTGCGAGGTCATTCTTCACAGAAACTGACGGTGGGCGCTGTCCCCTGTGCAAACCCTAGGCGCGGCTGAGACGGGCCTTGCGCATGCCTGTGACGGATTCTCTTAATTGGTTTAGTTGAGCGAGGGCTCCGTTTCCTGCGCTGGGTCCAGGCCTGACTGGACGGGAGAGGGCAAGCCAGCGCAAGCACGCAGGCGGTCGCTGCTGTCTGCTCCTGAGCGCGCATGACGAGGTCTTTCGGGCCTCTGCTGCCTGGACTTGTGAGCCAAAGAAACCATTTCTCTGGAAGTTGTTCTTGTTCGAGTAACTTTATCACAGCGACAGCAAAAGAAACTTGAGACAGAAACCAAGGACATTTATGGAGCTGGTTAAGTAAATTATGGCATAGCAAAGCCATCAAGTGTTGTGTAACCATGAAAAACAATGTATTTTTAAGTACCTTAATTTACAGCTTTTTTAATTCTGAAAAAAAAAATCATAAAATTACCACATTGGAAAACAGTATTTGGGATGACCAACATCTGTGTAGCCAAGGCATTGTCATTCATATTTTGCTTCAGAATAAACTGTCTTTATTTTCCTTGTGATGAGAGATATATTTTTGCAGTGAGAGAATTTGGCACCTAATATGGGGCCTTAAGCAGACCCACTTTCAGTATCGCAGCCACTGTGGCCAAGGGCTTAGCATCGCCGAGGGGATGTTGATGAGTCCTTTCTAGAGGTCAGTCCACCCTTGGTGTAGCCCATAGCCTGCTGGTTCATTCTGGATGGTGACTTGGATCTTGCTGTTTTGATGTTGTTGTTTTCAGAGCACTTGGTTTATTTTGCCCACCTTATCCGCTAGCATGCAGTCTTCCCTCTGCCACTCCTCCAAACTACAAGTCTGCATTTTTAAAGATTTTGCATATGTGCATTTTCTGTTATGAGTATGTGCACGTGACTATAGGGGCCAGTGGGAGGAAGTGAGCTCAGGATGAACGCTCTGGAGGTGACTCCTGACGGCAGCACAGGAACCACAGCCCTCGGCAGCATAATGAAGCCTTTGATTTTCCCGAGAAAGTTAAATACAGATTCAAGGAAAGAATGTTTGGAGAAGAAGCACCATTTCTTATTCTAACTGGCTTTATGGTTGATAATTACATTCCTTCAACTTTCAAGTATTTGGGCACTGGGGAAATGGACCTAAAGATAAGCTTTACACTTCCGCAGTGGGAAACAAATGACATCTCTAAACTGGGTTTTTGCCATGCTGAAAACTGAGGTACTAGAATTCATGTTTCTTTTGTTGTTGTTCATTTGTTTGTTTGTTGAGACAGTGTCTCTCTATGTGGTCCTCACCATCCTGGAGCTCACTGTGTAGACCAGACTGGCCTCAAACTCACAGCTATCCTCCTGCCTCTGCCTCCCAAGTGCTGGAATTAAAGGTACGCACCACCACCACCACCACCACCACCCAGCAGATAACAGAATTAAAAGATCATGAATGGGTAATTTTTTGAGTGGAATTTAAGTCTCTAAAAAAATTTTGAATTTAAATTACCTATTATGAAATAGGTAATTTACAAAAAAAAAAAAAAAGAAGAATTTTAGAAACTGTATCTGAAAAGCAATATTAAAAATAAATAAATAAATGGCTCAGCAGGTAAGCCTGGCACCGGAACCCTGTGCTGGGACCTCCCGTGGACACCTGGAACACTGCATTAATTTTAAGTGCCTGTTGTTTCCAGGTATATTCCCAAGTTGGACAAAGAAAGCTCTTCTGCAGAGAGAGCTGAAGAGACGACAAATGGCTCTGCAGAGGGTCCTTTGCCTCTGCTAACTAGCCGAGTCCCAGAGTGTGGGAGAAGTTGAGGCACCTGGGCAGGGCCTCAGGTCTGCCCTTCCAGACAGCACCTTTTGGCCTCTGGGCATTCGGGGCGAGGGCATCTTACCCAGTAAGCTGGTCCTGGCACACTGCACCGTGAGCAGGGCAGCTGCTGCTATTAGTGACTGCCATTTGCCCTGCCTGTTCTCTGGGGAAGAGTGAGAACGCGCAAGCAAATAGCTCTTCCAAGAGTCTGTTCCTTCCCCGGGACTGGTTCCAGTGGCTGGCTGCCAGCCGCACCCACACACAGCTGCGGGCTGGAGAACCAGACTCCCAGCTCATCAGTGTTGTAAGCTGTCTACAGATCTTGCAGTCGGGTTCAAAGGTACACAACTCCCTGTGCGGGTACTTCAAGCCTAATGTCCCTGTAATAGTCCTTGTCAGATGGCCATGGCCCTCCCTGGAGATTGCCGTGACTATGGACAACAGCCATTACCAGACCTCCAGGGGAATGGAGATGTCTTTGGATTCTGGGAAAAGTTAGAAAAGCGGTGGAATGGATCCACACCAGCTGCGTGCAAGCAACTCTGTGGTGAGCCAAGATACAGAGCCCAGCCACAAGGAAGAAAGGCCGTAAACAAATGTGTTCTGGGTTCAAACACTTCTTATATGCTCACACATTTGTGTGTATACGCACATGCGCATGCACACACGCACACACAAGTTTGGCTTCTGAAAGCATAAAAGAAAGAAGCAAAAAAAATGTTTAATACACCTCTAAGTGGTTTCTTTTGACTTAAGGGGGAAGAAAGGGGAGAAGCAGAGCCAAGGGCCTAATTTTCAAATTGAGACTTATAATAAAAACTTTAAATTAATTACGTGGGGGACGTTCTCAAAGGCTTTACCATCCAAAGAGCATGGCATCGGAACTGCTCTTTCTGGGGCTGAGGGTACGCACAGTTGGTGATGTTTGCCTGGCATGCATGAGGTCCTGAACTCCATCCCCAGCATTGAATAGGCCAGGTGTGTTGCTGCATGCGCAAGATCATATGATCTCAGCACTTAGGAGGAATAGAAACTCAAGGTCATTCTTAGCCTTGTAGCTCATGCAATGCCAACTGAGGATATGACAAACCGGTCTCAAAAAAGGGAACGTATCCTTCCTTTTTTAATACTTAATCTGCAAGAGAAACCACTCTAACACCCAAAACAAAAACATTCAGGACCTAAGAAGACACATTTCCAGGTTCCTTAAGTAGCCCCTGGAGACAGTGGGCTGTTCTGGCCCAGGTGGCTAAACCACCTTGGGAGACTCGGGCTTCACCCTCTTCTCTCTGCTGTAACAGAGGGAAGGGAGGCTTGCCCCATCAATGCCTTTCACCAGGGCACTGTGCTTTGAGGGCAAAGGGCTACAGAGCTTGGAGAGATGAAGGGCTTCAAGCCAGGCAGCCTTACTCAGCCATGTGTGCCCAGCTCAGCACACATCTCTTGGGGGGAGGTAGGGAGACGTCCTTGGGTAGCTCCACAGACTACACCAAGCTCCACAAACAGGTACTGCCACCTCGGCTGTGATTTGAGAGGGGGTCCAAGCCTCTATGGACTGAAGGTTTCTTTTGATATCAAGGCATCTTAGTGCACGGCAACACGGTCAGTGTACTAAGAAGAACCTGTAGGAAAGGGTTGGTGTTCACAGGTTTCACCTGGCTGGGTCAGCTCTCTTCTCAAAACCCACGCACATGTCAGGGGCTAATCTCAGAAAAGCCAGGGCCCAGTGCTGAAATGCACCGCTGGCGAATAACTCAACACAACAAAGCACTTTTTCTCCCTGAGGAGCTGCAGATCCAAACCAGGGGCTTGGGATACCACTGAGCCACACTCCAACCTAACAGAACAGTCTTCAGTCTTGGGGGAACACTAATACGTATTAGAACACTAATACGATGAGAAAAAGACAAGTAATGCCCACAGCAGTGGGCTGGCCAAAGGCAGATCCATCGAGAGCTGAAGGAAGACAAGGGTCCTCAGGCCACCTGTGGAGGCATGTGCCCGAAACCCGAGCACTGGGAAGGCTGATGCAGGAGAATCCTATGTTCTAGCCAGCCTGACCTACACAATAAGATCCTAAATAAAATGGGCTTACAGTACTGTTGCGTCAATGTTTAAAAAGAGAGTATCTGGGATTAAAATGTATGCCATAAGTTTATTGTAATTTTACAGTTTCATAAAATTTTAATTTTTAAAAAATATGCTCTATACAATTTACACATAATAATATACAATGTTTTCCATTGAAACTTCTGCATAATTGGCCAGTTTTTACAGGATGCCTTTGTCATTTGCCACTCTTGTGTCTGCAGGGAACCTCTGGGTGCAACTCATCCTTGATGCAACACCATCAGACAAGTGTTTGGTTCCTACTGCTCTAAGCAGTCACTCAAGTCACTGAGTGACATGGCTACTGGCCAGGAGAGGACATGTAAAGTGGTTCAGAGTTGACTTACCTTCTGGAAGAAAACCTCAGGAGCTCCTCCCACTGATGGGTCCGGAATGGAAGTGCCATCCAGAGTGCCCCTGGCATAGGGCTGCCACCTCAGCCGCTGTCCCACGAAAGGCAAGACACATGCCTCCAGGGGCGCTGGCCAGCATGGCTGCCTCCTCTTGCTGATTTGGTGAGCTCTTCATTTTCTTGGCGTAAAGCTCACTCTCCTCCACCCCGCCCCGAAACAGGGTTTCTCTGCATAGTCTGGCTGTCCTGGACTCGCTTTGTAGACCAGGCTGGGCTTGAACTCAGAGATCTGCCTGCCTCTGCCTCCTGAGTGCTAGGAGTACAGGCGTGTGCTACTGCAGCCAGCCATAAAGCCCACCTTTGCCAACCGAGCCTCCACTGTCCCCAGAAGCCCGGTGCTACGAAGCAATGTTTGGAGGGAGGGCTGGGCAGCCTGTGGCTGGTGCTTTCACGTTAGGGACCAGGCTCCGGACCTCGGCCATGCATGGTCTGATGTGCTTTCACAGTGTCCTCCTCAACTGGATTAGAGCACAAAGACGGTGTGATTCCTGTGGGAGCATGCACGGCTCGGCTTTACTCTCTCACGGCTGACGTGGATGTGTTTGGCAGGCCCAGAAGAAGAAAAGGGAAAAGGAGAGCTGGGGAGACTGACTCAGAGAAGAGACATTTGACAGTTACTTGGCGCTGAGCTGCCTGTGTTCAGCCCTCACCATCCAGCTCTTGGTGACAGGAAGATAGAAACTGGACAAGCTCTTCGGACAAATTAAACGACATCTAAAGGAGGTGCTGGTGGACAGGGGCCCAGACAACAGTGTAGGAGAGAAAGAAGAAATGCTGTTTTCAAAGTACCTAATACAAAGGGAATAAGACTGAGTAAGAGGAGAAAATAGATACACACGCTACATACTCAGCCTGTGAGCACTATCTTCATTATTGTTCACTTCTTACTCAGGTTTTACTGGCATCACTTTAGAGAATGGTCCTGCTGTCCTCCACACGCCCAGCTATGCCTTGGATCGACCCCGAGAGCTCACAGGAGTACACAAGCCTCTGCTATGACTAAATCCATGTTAGGCATTGGGGTCTGTATGAAAACATAAACTATAACTCTTGCTTTCAGGGACAAAGATGGTGTCCCCACCCTATGTCCAGGTGAGTTTTCAAGGCAGATGGTTCAGCGAAGGCACCTGCTCGATGACAGCCCTGGACAGGGCAGACGTGTCTATTCAGGGACAACCAGACTTGACGCTTATCAACACACTACATTCAGGATGAACCAAAAGGTCTTTTTGGAAACTTAGTAGTTTCCTTCTCAGAACTGGTTCCCAGAAGTGTCCACCAGCCTACCCAGTTTACTCCTTCATCAACCTGCCTCCAGCTGGGGTCTGCAGCCAATCACAGCTCCGAATCAGAAGCCAAGTAGATAATCTGTGTGCATGACAGCTACAGTAGTCAACAAGAAATCTGAAAATCTACCCCCTGGCTCTTACCAAGCCAGTTAGAGGTGAGTGGAAAGCGGGGGCGGAGGTGAACTAAATATAAACTTGTCTCAGCATCCTGCAGTGCCATGCCAGCGTGGATTTAGTCATGGAAGAGCTGTCTGCAAACAAGTGAGGAAATGTTCCAGGTTGTATGAGCACACTTGCTCCTCATATGGTAGAAGTGACCGGTACTTGTCACACATGCCACTGGGAGCTGAAATGTTATCAAGCAGGAAACTGGCTAGTGAGGGCAGCCAGAGAGCCGAGACTGCAGGTGTGTGTGTCCTAGGCTGACTCAGCATCTGCACTCACTGTGGCACAGCTGACCATCCGTCTCCCCAGACAACTGAAGGCCAAATGGATGAAAAGAAGCTCTTTGGAGCCTTGAGGTTCTGGGCTCTAAATTATAACCAGGAAAACTTCTTTTCAAGATAAAAACATCTAGGCAGTGGTGACACATGCCTTTGATCCTACCACTTGGGAGGCAGAGGCAGGGGGATCTCTGTGAGTTCGAGGACTGGCCTACAGATTGAGTTCTAGGACAGCCAGAGATACACAGATAAAACAAAACAAACAAAAGACCAAAGCATAAAAGCACGCTTGGTGTTGGAGGTTGGTGTGATGGGTGTTACTGGCCCTTAAGATCTGATTACACCCATCCTTGTTGTGTACACCTGCCTAAGACATGCCTGGTTGGCTAATTAAATGGACTATACTTGGGCAGGGCAGAACAAGGCAGGCATGGCTCAAGTTCCCAGGCTTTTGGGTTCAAGAGAATCAGGGGAAATGAATAGAAAGGAAGAGAAGAAGGAGGATGCCACAATGGGTTATCTTGGAGAAGAAACCACATAGGCTAGGAGAAAGGACTCAAATAATCGTGTGGAAAGGCCCAGATGAAGAATACAAGCAGGTATTCATAGGATTATGATTATGGATAGAAGATAGTTGAGATGAGCATGATTAATGTGATGCCATCGGATGGGCCTGAGAGGTAAAGGGTGAGGTAGAAATATCTGCCCGGCCCAAGGTAAATAAGGCTATTATAAATCTAACAGGTGTCTGTGTCTTATTATTTGTGATAGCAGGTTAAATAATGCTGCTGTGATAATGTTAGGGCTAATAATAAACACTATATAGCCCAACATTCATTTTTTATTTACTATGACACTTGGAAATATAGCTGTGTGTCACTTAACATTTCAGTCAATGAAAGACACCCATGGCATTGGTCCCAAAAGATTGTATTACCTAGCCATCCTGGTTTGTCTAAGCATGATCTGTGACACACACAAAAGGGAGAAGATGGACTGAAGAAGCAGGTCTCAGGAGCCCCATTGTTCAGACATGTGACTGTCTCTCAAGGAAGCACATGCTCTAGGATTCTAGAGGAAACCATGGTTCTTGTTTCTACAATAGCTGAAACGTATTCCCTGCCACAGGCTCACTACAGAGCAGGAACTCAAAACCTTATCTAAGGAAAAGTAAGGCCCAGAAAAGGCTGCCTACAGTAAGATTCTCCTCTTAGAGGGCTAACCTCTGAGCCAGCCCAGCGAGTGCACAACCAAACAAGAAAAGTCAGACGAAACTTGGTCATTCTCACTGTGACCTTTAGTCTTGGATGCTAACACAAATGCTTATTACTCTTATTCACCAAGCAATGTGGAAGACAGCCCTCATGCTAATTGAGAAACACACGTCTGGAAAGGGAAGCACGATTTCCCCTACATCGCCACCAGCATGGCAAGAGGTCAAGGAGCTGCCTGAGGAGCCCCAGGGAAGATGTCTCAAAGAGGACACCATATATGGAGTCTGGTCATTGAGAAACAGGGTAACTCGTCCTCAAAGCACTTAAAGAACTGTGCAATAGCTTTCCAAGCAACTGACTGATGTTTTAACACACAGTGTTGCTAAAGAGAAATATCTGGACTAGGAGAATCTGGCAATAATCTCTGAAAAAACAGCAATTTTTTGTAATGCTAAATGTTAAGATACATTTTCAAATATTAGGAGTATATGTGTACTGGAGGAAAGGCGTCTGGCAAGCAGACCGAGTAGGCTAAGGGAGAACAGATCAACTGACAGGCAGGTTGTGGTCATTCTGACACTCTCTGTGGGGCGCCTACCCCGTCCCTAGGACAGATGTATTGCTGGGGACTTGTAAGAATGTTCAACCTCCTGTCACTGTCTCCAACTGACCCTAAAGACAGCACCTGCCCTGGGATACCTCCAAAGCATCTGTTTTCATGATTTCTCCTTCGCTACCTCTAGAACATCAAGGGCACTACGCAGTTTCCAAGATATTACCATGAAACAGCTCTATGCCTGGTTCAGCAATGTTATGGGAGGGCAGCCTTTAAAGCAATGCATTAGGACAAGGACACAGGCTGACCTACGTTCTCAGCCTTCTCTTTTCTATGGACTACCATCGCTCCTTTTCCTTTCTTATTTTTCCCATTCAGTAATTACTTATTCCATACCCACTATGTGCCAGAGTTGTAACCAGACATATCTGAGTAAGGGCGGACACGAGAAAATCTCTCAGAGCAGTTTTAACAGGCAGACAATTGTGGATGGTGATTAGTACCAGGAGAAAGCAAACAGGCACGAGAATCCAGTTAGGAGTGGGGAAGGAGGTAAGAGCCCTACTTCAGCTACCCAAGGAAGCACCAGCAGAGCTGATGGCTCAGTGGGGATCTGAGAGACAGAAGATCCTAAGGAAATGCTCCCAGGCCACAGGGACAGACACGAGGCTCTGGGGTGGCAGAATCAATCTACTCCACATCTTGCATCAACGTGTACAGCACGGGGATTTGTTTGCCTCTACTGATTTTCCTTTCACAATGGCCCGTTTTTCATACGTCGGGGTCCTTGTGGACCTTGACTCTGTAATAGTCCCACCCTCTGCCCCAGCTTTCTTTAGAAAAGAGAAAGAACGGTAAGAGCAATCTTCAGAAGGCATGTAGGGCAGGGAACAACCAGGAGAACATGTAAATTCATTATTTAGTATGATTAATCTGATACTCTCCCACAGCCTGGGCCCTTAGCTTAGCGCCTCATGCTCACTGTGCTGCCCACCTCAGGCCCTGGGGAATACATCCGGGTCACCCTTGGTCGGGTGGCCAGCCGGCCACTCCCCTCCAGGGGCAGACACTGTTCAGGCGCTGCTTGGGGCCAGGCCCTGCTGTCAGTTGTTTGCATTTGTCCCCATACAGAGACCACAGTACGCAGCTCTTCTCTGTTCTCAGCTCTGGCTGACGACGTAACCGAATTAAAAATGTTCAAAGGGTTTATTCAGAAAAAACAAAAACAACACCTTATAAATAATGTATTTTTGCATATTAAAAAACGAGACCCTTCCAAAAAGTTACAGTTCCTCATTTACAGACTCCATAACAAAATAGGCACCTTTCAAATTCAGTACCCAAAACACTTTGCGACAGTAGTTTCCATTTGAGAAGAGAACAGAAGTGAGCTGCAATTACACACACAGCTTCAGCAGCAACATGGGCATGTTGGAAGAAGCCATAGTGCTTTTCAGGTGTTCCTTTGTGCTACCCAACCCCACACTGGAGAAGGGACAAGAATGTACACAACCCACAGAGACAGCAGCGGGGGCTATCAGCTGGGATCCTCTTTCCTTTAGCGAAAAGCATGGCTTTCTTACAGTCTGCAGGTGGCATCAGCTATCGAACCATTTGCTTCTCTTCATAAGGGGTGCTCCTTTAGAAGGGCCCAACAGCTTCTGCTTATATTGTTCGACCAGCCGGTTGAAGTGGGCTTCTGCCTTATTTTCCTTAGCTTTTTTCTTAGGGGCCTGTGAAGGAGAGGAGACAGACAAGCATTTTTTTTTCCCTCTCCCTTCCTTCTTTCCTTCCTTTCCTCTTGCTTTCTTGCCTTCTTACCTGTCTGCCTGAAACTCAGTATGTGATAGAGTATGACCTTGAACTCCTGACCCTTATCTCTCCTCCTTCCAGATGCTACCACCATGCCTAGTAAATTTCAAACTTATCGTAAGGATACCCAAAACATAAAATAAGGAGGTACAAAGATCACGTTCACAGGAAAACAAGTTCCTGAGAAAACCCTCGTTTGGACAGTCATAAGAATTCCACTTATGAAATTTCAAAGATTAGATCTCTACAATATAAGATGACATAGTCAGAAAATTCCCAGAGACAGATTTGAGTAGGACAGGATGCTAATGACTCTCTTATTCTTAAAGGGAAGGGTAATAAAAGCTTGACCTCAAATGCTCCAGAACACAGGACAAGGGGCTGGAGAGATGGCTCAGAGGTTAAGTGCACTGGCTAGCCCAGAGGATCCAGGTTCTATTCCCAGCACCACAATGCATCACACAACCACCTTTAACTCCAGACCTAGGGGATTCAAAGCCCTCTTCTGGTCTCAGTGGACCCCAGCATGCCTGCAGTATACAGACGTACACACAGGCAAAATACCCTTACATGGTATGCTTGTAATTGTTGAGAAAAAAAAAAAAAAAAAAAAGAGCGCAGAACCAACAGGACCATTTTGTTCTATTACAAATAAATAGAACTCCTTTGGGAAATAAATATGCCAGAAACTAAAAAAGAAACATGTCAGATGGGCCTAGAAAGCAACACTACCAAAGACAGACAAGGTCATTTCAGAAGAAAACAGGAGCTGATCCGAAGACACTTCCGTTGGTGTAGACAGGACAGAATAATGACTGTATTTGGTTAAAACAGAGAGTTATATAAAAATTGGAAATTTTTTAACACTACTATATAAAGATAAATATGTATATATGTATATACATATATATATACTGTTTTTATATAATAGTGTTATAAAAATAATATGTATATATGTATAGGTGTGTGTATATATATGTATATTTGCCACCAGAGCAGGTTGGTACGGTAATAATTCACTACTCTGTAAACTTGATATACCAAGAAGGGGAAGCAAAAGAAGAAATCAATTATCTAAACTTGCCTTTCCTATATGTTAAGATTCTTCTTCCTATAATTTTTTTTTAATGTGCATTGATGTTTTGCCTGTACGTATGTGTGAGAGTGTCAGATCTTGGAGTTACAGACAGTTGTGAGCTGCCATGTAGGTGCTGGGAATTGAACCTGGGTCCCCTGGAAGAAAAGCCAGTGCTCTTAACTGCTGATCCATCTCTCCAGCCCCTTTCTAGAATTTTTAGAATGCTATTTTTAAGTACAAAAAGGCTGACTGAATTTATCATTAGTCTATATAACAATCCATAGGTGTTAAAACCAAAGGTGAGCAGCTAGGGCACAGCCCAACAGCAGAGCATTTTCCTTCCTTCCTTCCTTCCTTCCTTCCTTCCTTCCTTCCTTCCTTC